ATACGAACTTACGCTGCTGTGAAGTTGACTTAATCCTTTCTAAGCCCTGTAGGTCACTAGTAGTGCAAAAACACTGGAACATATTCCATGACATGACAGTTTAAGCAAGCCCGGAGCTGTTGGGGATAGTACGCCCACCATTTCTGCTTTTACTCTGAAACCTATGATTGGTTCTTCTGTAGAATGCTGGGCATGTCATTTGAACCTGGACTGCTGGGTGGTTTAACCTTTCAGCAAACTGGCAGTCCAGGTTTGGATGCAGCCCAAGAAGGAGTTGGTTGTGGATTGCTAAATTAATGTGAAGATTACACTGCAGGCAGCACATCTGCTTTCTCCTGCTTGTCCCCGACACCCCATGGGTTGTTTAGCCTATGGGTTCTTTAACCCATGGATTGTCATGCTGTGTGACCCAGGTCAAAGATTTTGTTTTCAATTGTTGGTTGAGGGGTGGGGGAGAGGCTTTAGCATTGCCTCCCCCACTCAGATATCCTGATGTGGGCAAAATCACGTCTTCCCTGTAGCTGTTAGCAACAGAGAAATGACGATCTTGCCATCTGCATTCTTGCTCTGCAACTTGCTCCACACCTGCCTCCCCCCGCCCCCCACTTTGCTGCTCAGCCCTTTAGCTCTCATGGTGTTTTACTTCAGGGGAGGCTAAAGAGGCCAGTTTAAACATACAACTCATGGCCTTATCCCTGCAGCTACTATAGCTCCTAAGCTTGCTGTCCCCTATACCCTTCCCCCTTGTAGTCCAAAACAGTTCTTAGAACGGCCTGGATATGCTCTGGAAGCAGCTGCTCTTTGACAAACCTAACTGGACAGAGTGTTGCCATCCCTCTGCCACATCTTTTTTCCAAAACTGATACCAGCCACTTGCAGGTTAAAGAAAACTATATTGAGCTGCATGCTACTGTCATGAAACTGCAAATGGGTCCCAACTGGAAAAGTGATTATGGTGAAAGGAGTGCTGTGCAGTCTTTGGAAACATCTAGCAGTCATTATCACATAATGATGGGATGCATATTCTTCAGGCACAGAAAGAGAGCCTGTTCTTATCTTTAAGATTATTTATTAAAAAGAGGGCATTGAGCAATGAGTTTTGTAGGGTGTTTGTCACAAAGTTAAACAGAAATTCATTCAGGTATACGTTTTTCTCACCTATGTGAGTACAAATTATAAGAACTGTAGATCCTTGTACTTAAATCTGCAAAGTTATGCTATCAGGCCTCTTATGTGCAAAAGTGCTTTTCTTCCATATCTTATGTGGTTCCAGTTTATCCCTTAATTTTGACAGCGAGAACACAGACCACCCAGCAATAAAATCTGACCTCTAACTTATTGTTGATCATCTAAATATGTGTGTGCGCTATTCATATTTAATTTTTCTTACAGTAATTTTCAATCTTTGTAAGCTGGCTAGAGAGATATTGGGTGGTATAGAAATGTAATAAATGAATGAACTCATCTTGATCAGAATCTCATGTAAGTTTAAAGTCTTTCCCTGCTCCACCCACTTTGGTGATCTTCAGTGCAAGGAATGAGTGAGGGTGAGTGAGTTTACCATTAGACTGTAATACTGAACCCCTTGCCAGCAGTCCTGAGACAGGCAGGGTGCTAAGAGTAGCAGCGATCCTGCAGCCCAACTGAAAGCTGCAGGGAATAGAAGCCAGGGCAGCAGGCAAAAGAAGCCAGGGCTTCTGGGTGTTCCCCAAGCTGCACAGGGATCAGCTTACAGCCACATGTGGGCAACAGGTTGCTGACATGTGTTGTAGAGGTACTTGATTAAAAAATAGCTGTACAACACTTATATTGTTTGAGAAATAAAATGCTACCCTATTTTCCATAGATAGATGGTGTTGGTGCTTTTGAACCATGTTAACTTGAAAGAATATGCCACTAATTTCAATTGTACTTTCCTCTTAGTGAATAAGTAGGGCTATGCAATGAAAGCATCTTTCTAAAACAAAGGAAGTCATTAACAAGAAACAATAGTAACTCAAAACAGGCACTGTCTGGATTTTATTAGGTGTGGGAAGAACATCGCTGGACTATATTAAGACTCCACAAAATGAAGAAAATGCTTTAACATAGGAAAAACAAGAAAACCAAGGTCAGAATGTAGGCGTTTGTTCAAAATGTAGAAAATGGTATTGATGATGGTTCCAAGTTGTCTCCAGGGTGGAAGTAAAATATGAGCGAAGGTAGCAGGTTAACAATATTAGTTTCTTATGCCAGGGATGAGGAGAACATAGGTTTGGATCTCCCAGTACATCTCTGGGCCAGAATTAAACAATAGGATCAACACAATGTTACCTCCCTCAAACTATATTGCTATACTATATTTCATGTGGAAGTATTATGAAGTCTAGAGACTGCAAGTGGCGGAGTGGTTTAAACTGCTGAGCTGCTGGGCTGGTTGACTGAAAGGTCGGAAGTTCGAATCCATACGATGGGGTGAGCTCCCGTGCTTTGTCCCAGCTCCTGCCAACCTTGCAGTTCAAAAGCATATAAAATCCAAGTAGATAAATAGGTACCTCTTCAGTGGGAAGGTAACAGCGTCCCATACACCTTGATGTTTAGCCATGCTGGCCACATGACCACGGAAACTGTCTGTGGACAAAACACCGGTTCCCTCGGCTAGGAAACGGAGCTGAGCACCACCCCCAAGAGTCAGACATGACTGGATGTTAATGTCATGGGAAAACCTTTACCTTTACCTTTTTACTATGAGATCTATTCAGATTTGGTACACTAACCAAATTCCTGAGTTCAGTTCCCTTTAATTCTAAACTTATACTTTTGTACCAGACTCTGGTTTATGGAACCTAGTTCTTAGTAAGAAATGAAAAAGTTAATCCCACAAGCTCGAGGTCTGTCCACACATCTTATGCTATTACTGAACAGGAAAAGCTAATTGCTAACTGCTACAAACCCAATTAAAAAGAACATCTCAGTCTTTGGGGAATGTTTTTGTGGGTAACCACCATTGTCTAACTTTGCATGTCATAGTCAATCACTTAGTTCTTTAATCCAGGGAGTTGGTAGGGTGTGAAGGAGCAAGCAAGTGTGGTGCCTTCTGCCTGTTTGCCACTTCTGTGTTCAATAATAATAACCCTGTTTTTGAGTGGTGTTGTGACATCCAAACCCAGCAAGTATAGGTTATAGGTTAAACAAAATTAACTGAAAAACAAAAGATGGGTAGCTACCTGTTTGGTTAACTCTGGACTGTTTAACCTACATAACCAGCTAGGTCTTCAGGGAGCCAGGATTTTCAAATCTGGGCTTTAGGCCAAGTATTACTGTATGATTTCAACTCTGTAGAGTCTTAGAAAGCATAGCTACAGGGATCTATGTTTGATGTCTGAGAGCCAAAGGGATGAGAGAAGTCACAGGCTCCAATTCCTACTTAGTTGTCAGTGCTCATCCCTCGGATCTGCCCTGATGCATTGCATTGGAATGAGATAGAATTGGGTGTACTTTGGTCACTCTGTCTTGACAGAAGATGAAAGAAGAGACTAAAGCAATTTGATTAATAGTTTTGTCATGCAGCAAGTAGACTTTACCTCTTAAACACACAGTAGAGGTTTTACACACAATTTCATAAGCTATCCTGTCATAAAAGCAACATTGAGTGGCTCTGAGCTTCAGATGGGAAAAAAGGGCAGCAGATGGACTGTGAAACTCTGCCTTCCATTCTCTTTCCCCTCCTAGGTGCTTTTTCACTCACAAGGGAAAAGATACCCATATCTTCCCACTGCTCATATGTGGAGAGAAGTGACTGGTGGTTTATTTTGAGCAGCTGGAGGGGAAGAGTTAAGCAGCCCTTCTCTTCATTTCATACTTTCTATCAATTTATGGGGCTTTCCATTGCTCCCAGTAGGAGCATTTTTACTTACACCAACTCTTTTATAGATATAACTTCCATCTAGTTTATATATTCTTCTCATGTTGGGGGTGTTGATGGTGAAATTGGCAGAGGCAAGGAGGGACCTCTAAACTGCAAGATATTTGTATGTTAATTGCATTCACACATTTAATTTGGCCTGACCCAAAGGCTGAACCAGGATAAAACTCAAAGTAAATGTGGCAGTCATCCACCATCTTACTTTGATTTTCTCCATGCATTAGTAGTATTCCACCCACAGAGTGATTATGCAAGCAGCATTCTCTACACCAGTTCAGCCTCTTGTTGGTGAAATTTAGTAGCAATGCTGTCTTTGCCTAGTGGGTGTTAATTCTACCCAGGGTAGGATTGCTACTTAAATGTTAAAAATGCTCATACTGAGGTACTAGGCAAATTTGTAAATGATCAGTGCATTCTTGCACATGGCTCCTCAGATACATTAAAAACAATGGAACCAGCACCCAGATAGGTATGTACAGTATTGCAGTTTATACTTACAAAATAAATTAATCAGATAAAAAGCAAATGCATAATGGATGAAAACACAGGTTTTAGCTGACAACCCTGAACTAACTGATTAAAAGTCACAACCTGTCCAGGAATGCACAATTTGTAGGCTAAAAGATCTGGAGGACTGCATCATCCCTCACAATGGCTATGTTGGCTAGGGCTGATGAGAGTTGCAGTGCAAAACTTCTGGAAGGCCACATATTGCTCACAATTATATGTATGTGTTTCCAGTAAGCATCGGAAAGCAAAGGCAGACGTCGGGCAGAAAAGCGGGTAGAAAGGCCTCGCTTTCCCGTATTGCGCATGCGTCCCGCGCATGCTCCCAAAGGGTACATGCGGCGTTTGGACGGCCCTGACCGCGCAACTCCCTGCTGGGGGCGATGCCTCTCTTTGGCAGGGAGGGAGGCGGGGTGCTCTGGCGGCATCTGTGCGCCGGGATGGGTGGGACCCGGAGGGCGGGAGGCGGTGTCCCCCGCTGAGGGCGGGGCCAGCGAGCGGGGCCATTTCAGCGAGCAGCAGCGGCGCAGGCGGCTGGGCCAGGATGCGCTTGGCATCGTCCTGCGGCGGCGGCGGCGGCGGCGGCAGCAGTAGCTGCAGGGACGAGTCCGCCGCTCTTTTCTTGCTGCATCCGCGCTAGCGCCCGCAGGTCCGCGCTCCGCCTCGCTGCCTCGCTCTGCGCCCCCGCCGCACTGTTCCTCTTCTTCCTGCTGTGCCCGCGGCGGGTCCGGGGTGCTGAGCCTCCTCGCCGTCCGCTTCCTTCCCTCCTTCCTTCCTTCCTTCCTTCCTTCCTTCCTTCCTTTGCTGCTGCAGCAGCGGCGATTGCTGCTGCGTCTCCTCCTTCGTGGCTCCCATGGCGGCGCCGGGCAACATCGTGTCCGTTATGGCGAGTAAAACCAAGACCAAGAAGAAGCATTTCGTGGCCCAGAAAGTCAAGCTCTTCCGGGCCAGCGACCCGCTCCTCAGCGTCCTCATGTGGGGGGTGAACCACTCGGTAAGAGCCAGGGCCGTAGCAGCCGCTTCCTGGGGCTGGGGGTGGTGGTGGGAAAGCTGGGCTGGGTCGCCCTGTTTATTCATTTATTACTTTGATTTATATCCCGCCTTTATTTTAAAAAATGGCAGTCAAGGTGGCTTGTTGGCCGCTGGAGGCTGCCTTATCCTTGATCATCTCTTTCCTCGGATTCTGTAACTTGTGCGTTTGTGTGTGTGTGTGTGTTCTCGTCGCCCTCGGCGTTTCTCTTACTCCGGATTAGCCACTGCTGTTGTCCCTTTTCCACAGCTCTCTGCCGCCCCCGCCTACCAGCCTGGAGCTCCAGGGCGCGCACACTTTCCCTTTCTTCTGCACCCACCTCTTTTTATAAGGGGTTCAGTCCGGCCATTGGGGGAATTAAGGCTTAATAATACCTCCATAAGAAGGGGCTGGGTGGATGGAACGCAGGAAAAAAGAAGAAATGTTGTCTGTTTGCTTAGAGACTGGTGATGTGGTTCTCTGAGGGTGAGATAATGTGTCCTTGGACATGCAAGATCGTGCTGCCCTTGGAGTAGTAAAAGCTGTGGGACCCTAGACACTCTGTGTTTCCTTCTCAGGGAACTGCATGGGTGCATTTCTCTTTTTCTCACATACACACACCTTATTTGCATTGTGAACACCGTTTAGACATCTGCTAGCCATGCTGGAAATTGTAGCCTGACATGTCTGGAGGGCACCAGGTTGGGAAAGACTGATGTGTAAGGTTATGAACATCTCTGTGTTTGATAATTGGTGAAGCATGGCTGTTGTCTCTAATTGGGAGGTGGTTCATTTCTAAGTACCAGATGCTGAGTGGGGGGGGGGATGTACATCAGAGAGTGGCAGTTTCCTTTGCACCCTGTCAATAAGTACCCAGAAACATGTGGCTGGTTATTGTTTACAATACTGAGCCAGATGGACCTTGGTCTGATTCAGCAAGGCAATTCTTAAGTTCGTATTTCACTGTTGGTACTTTTTACCCAGAGATGGTGGTGTAAGAAACTGTAACAAATGCTCTTACCCATATATCTGGGTATGGTTGGTGGAGGCTTAGCACTAGATTAATGGTGAGAACTGGATGTCTTTTGCCACTGGACTAATAGCATAGCTGCTGTCCAGGTTGGATGAATTCTGCTGAGCAGTAGCAAAAAAATGTCAGGCTGCAGAGGAGCTAAGAATACGTTATGCATACATGGCAAACCATATTTCTTTCCTACAGGCAAAATGTGTATCATGTAGCTTGCAGGCAAAACAAAATAAAATACTGCTATGGTAGGGAAGTTAGACATATAGCTTTCTTGGAGTACTGCAGTATCCCATCACTGAATTCACAAAAGACCAAGAAGGTAAAGACCAAGGAGAAAAGAAATATGAGACTTGGCTACTGTTGGTAGAGTCATAGAAGTGGGCATGCCAGAATGAATATTGCTGCTAGCTGCTTGGGTTATATTGTCTCCCTTTTGAAGAGGAAAAGGGGTGATGGTATGAAAAGAGAAATGGCATAAATGCCTTTCTTAAGATCATATTAATCTCATTAGAAAATCAGTGCTTCTGAAATGTGTGTCCAGACCAGATCTGCAGGGTTTTTGTTCATGGTGGTGTTAAAGATTTGTCCTGGGGTTGTTTGTTGGGGATAGGCAGGGGAACACAGTATGTACAACATTTTGCAAACCTTTGGCATTTGCATTCCTGTACATGAAAGAGTGTGCCTTACTGTGGGGAGAGAGAGATTATGTGTGTGATTTGCCTGGATGGAAACCTTTTGCTCTCATTTCCTTCAAACACTGCAGTCTTAATTTTTAAATAAAGTGGTAGTGAATTTGCCTTATTGTAAAACTATATTGGTTGCCAGCTGTTTTCAGCAAAAGCTAAATCTGGCTATTTTATGATCTTCAGCCTTGGCTGCCTCTCACCCACCTTGGAAAACTATGTCAAATGCATTGGTGTGTGAGTATTGTACTAATCAGTTATTTAATGCATATATGGCAATGTCCAGTACTGTCCAGGAATTTACCTTCGCACAGAAGTGCAGGTTTGGACATAACTTTAACTTGTTCATGAATGGGGGAAACTTTCACACATGATTATATGTCTTTTACAGCCTCTGGGTTAGGGTTGCTTTGCTATATCTGTGGCAGGTTTTGTGGTTTGGTGACTAATCTTCCTCTTTATCCAGAATTAGCGGTCTTATCTGTTTTTTGGACGTGTGTGCGTGTGTGTTTGGGGAAGTTGGCTAGCCCAGTCAATTCTAAAGTATAGTTAAGTTTAACTTATGAAATGCTTGCTTTTGGAATCCAGAGGTATTGGAAGTAGTGCTTAAAAGAAGAAGGAAGATAATCCCAATGTGGTGTGAGGGTGAGAGTCCTGGACTGGGGACCTGGAACATATGGGTTCTACTCCCCACTTAGCTATGAAGCTTACTGGATTACTTTGGACCAGTCACAACTTACTAAACTCAGCCTGCCTCACAGTGTTGTTGTGAGAATAACATGGAGCTATGTAAACTGCCTTGGGTTCCTCACAAGGGATAAAAAGGCAGGATATAAATGCAACGCTATAATAACTACTTTAACCTTAACGTTATCACTACAGTGTAGACAGAACTCTCAGCCATCATTTGCTCAGATGTTCCACAAATAATAGTCTGCAGATCTGTATACTACCAAAAAGCTTTAACAAGTCTTTTGTCAAAGGACGTTGAAGGAGCATGGACACATTTAAAGAAAGGTGGCTAGGTCTTTATCCTAGGATTTATAACCTGAGAACATTTGTTCTTATACAAAGAATTCCAGACTATTGAGCCACAAATCCATACCAGCAATTTAGTTGCCAGTTTTTCTAGAAACAGTGAATGCCATGCATCAGATATAACTGTCTGCTTATTATGGAAAGTGAGAGATGGGTTATTGACTCTCTCTTTCAGTTCACTTTTAACCTCTGCGTTTACATCTTCAAGAGATGAAAGCAAGAACAGGGGTTATCTTAGGATAATGGATTGTGTAAGCAGACCTTTCTTCTTTTAATTACAGTCTCAAATGCCATGAGTTGATGATGACCTCTTAGTAATGCTGACATTAAAATAATTCATCATAACTTAACAGATTTTGTTTTGTAGGATGAAAAGTCTTTATGTATTTGATATGGTGAACTGTAACTTCATTTAGGATTTCCACTGACTCTTTACTTTGTGTTTTTTTACATCCAGCATTTTTTTCTGGATGTAATAAATTCTCTGGATTCTTAATTTAAAAACCAGAAGCTTTGAAAACTTAAAATATGTCAAGTGTTAATGTAGAAGCAACCTGATTTGAAAATTAGAGCTTGAATGCTGTAGATGACTATGAAAAGTTTTGTAAGAATGTGGCATCAGGTTAAATTGTAAAAATAAATTAAGTGAATTTTCAATAGCTTGCTTTAGAGTTAAAAAACCTGATGATTAGACTGTTTTTCTCTTTTTAAGCTCAATTAAATTGAACAGCCTTTAATGATATGCTAATATTTAAGTCTTTTGTAGTTAAGCTGTGCTAAAAACAATAAAACCACAGAAGTATAACACTAAAGAAATCGTAGAAACTTACTCTTTTATTAAGCAAAACATAAGTGTTGCTACATCTGAGCAGAAAAAGGTAATATTGGCACCAGCATTTTAACTGTGATTAAGAGGGAGATTCTCTATCAACCTGTGTTTGAAATTTGCTTCAGACCTTGCGTCTTAAATCCTTCTTTTCATTGGTTAATTTTTGGTAAAGGAAGCATGAAGAGAACCTGTTTCGTGACTGGGTGCATAGTTCTGCTTTATAATTCCACCAGTGCTTAGCTGGACATCTGGGCATCTTTGCAATTACCAGGTGGAATGAGTGGAAAGGTGGGTTTTCCACCAACTTCACAAGGCAGTGGCTTTTTGCCCACTTCCCCCAGTTCTACTTGACAATTTATAAAGATCACATTTCCACACAAATGTTGTAGGGTGTAGCTGACTGTTCTTAGCCAAGCTTACTGATTCAGCCTGTACCATGGTACCTACATGCAGTTTCTTCAGCACATACACAACCTCCTGCTCCAACCGATAACATTTAAATTGCTGTAATTTGAAAAAAGATGCAGCAGCCCAGTAAGTGAGGTGGTAGGAGTAGAATGACTTGGGGAAAAGCAGTGGGAGTTTATGGAACAGGTGAGGAAGGAGTTAAGGAAGTTGGCTTATGTATCACCTAAACTGATGACTGTACCTTGCCATGTAAGTGCAAAATTGGCACAGAATCAAATGGGCTTCCCAGTTTGAGCAAGAAGAAGAATGGCAGCATTCCTCGAAGTCTACTGATATTTTCCTTGGAGCTGATAACCCTTCCCTTATTTGCCATAGTAAGTAGTCCGTTGCATAGAATTCAAATTTCCATAGAGATACTGGAAGCTAAATGGCTAGTAAGTGTTTGTGACTCAAAAGTTCTTTGTGTAGGAAAAAGGTTCTTCCTCAAATATACTGCTGAAATGGAAAAAAGAAAAAACAAATGAGCAATCCGGAGTTGATCTTGCATGTGTGTTGTGATAGGGCTGATTTGAGTTCTGGAGCTCAAAATATGTTAGACTCAGAATCACTGAATTCTAAATACGTGTTTTGTTCTTGGCCTCAGTTGGTGGATCTTGAGGTTCCAGTATAAATAAAAGGAGAACATGCAAACCTGAAGTGTTCCCATCACTGTTCTCCCTCATCACTGCTGCACACTGGATCACTGTTCTCATTGAGTTATCTTTTACAATCCCAAGATTTCTTTCCTAGTCAATAATTACTAACTTGGTCCCAACAGTGTATGTATATGGGATTAGAAGTTTTTGCTCCAGTGGGTTTCACTTCATACCTGCATACATTTAACCACATTTTCCAACTGATTCTCCATTTACCCAATTTGTTTTAGAACTCTTTTAGTTGCCCCCTTTTTCCTACATCCTAAATAATTTGTTATTAGAAAACATAGCCATTTTGGTGCGTG